TTGGCCCTCCAGTGACCGCCCACCCGGGTTGCAGGCGGGCTCGAGTGGGACGACGATTTCCGGCTGGCCAAGTCAATGGACATGGCCACGCCCCCCGCGCCGGCCACACCTCCCGCGCCGGCCACGCCCCCCGCGCCGGCCACGCCCCTCTCGCGCTTCACAGTGTCGCCCGCACCCGCGTCCCGCTTCTCCATCACGCACGTGTCCGACTCGGAGGCCCAGTCCGTGGGAGGTGAGGCGGAAAGGCCACGCGGAGGGGTGGGCGCCGTTTCCGGGGCAGCTCCTGGCCTGGGGCCCAACAGCCGCCCAGGGCTGCGTGACAGGGGGGAGATCTTTCTAGATCACCCCAGGGCAGGCTGCAGGAAGCCGCCCCCACTAGCTGCAGCTGCTCCTTCCAGAATGTTCCCAGACCACCCCTGCCCGCCTTGCCCCCTCCCCGCTGCCCACCGCAGAGCGCCCGCTGCTGGGCCCCGCTGCAGTGCCTTGGCACAGGCCGGGCTCCTCCCCGGACGGTGCTCCCGCAGCCCGCAGCCCAGCCTCCAGCCCTTCCGGCCTGCCTCTCACCCTCCCCGTGCCCGCAGACTTCCTTCCCCAGACGCCCTGGGCCTGTGGCCGCAGCCCCGAGGGAAAGGCCTACCCCTCCTTCCTAGACAAGCAGACCACCGGGAAGCGGCTGGACAAACTCTCTGGTCAGGCCTCAGTTTCCCCAAGGGCCGAGTGTGTGATAGGCCTGGCCAGGGTGGTGACGTCGGGAAACAGGGACCCATCGCCGGCCCAGCAGGGCCTGCGTCCTCCTCGCCCACCTAGCCTCCCCCTTTGCCAGGCCCCGGTGACCAGCCCCAGGGGGGGTGCATGGAGGCCTGAGGCCCAGGGGGCCTCACCCTGTGGTGGCTGGCGTCACTGGAACCCCTGCTATCCTGTCCCAGGCAGCAACGAGGACGGTGACCGGGAATGAGTGGGAACCACAGTAACCAGTGGTAGCAGGTCCCAGGGCCACGGTGTACCCACAGCGTCCTGGAGCAGCAGGTGGACGAAAGGCCCGACTCTGGCACTGGATGGCAGACTGGCCGTGCCGCCACTCCCAACTGCCCGGGGACAGAATGTGACCAGGACACTGGAGTTGTCTAACAGCCCCTGACGAGGCCCGTAGCCTGGGGGCCGTGGGTGTCTGCACACACATGCCCACACTGGAGAGGGCCCTGCCCCGTGGGTGACTGCCCGCCCTCCGTTTGCAGCTGTCCTGCAGCAGCAGCTGCTGGCTGCGGTGCCCTTGGCCATGACGCCCGGCAGGTTTCCTCCCTGTGTTCACAGGACCCTTGGCTGGGTGAGGCAGTGCCAGGCCTGCAAGTCCCTTCCTAGCCTTCCCACCCCTCCCACTTGGGTCTGGGTCTACTCAGTGCCAAGGACAGGCTCCTGGGCTCCATGTCCTTATCTCCGAGTCTCTGGTCCTGTCCCCTTCACTCCTCTCCCGGAACCCCCCCCCCACCAAGCTGCTCTGGCCTGGGCCTTCCTGAGCAGCGGGGAGGGTCCTGGCTGCAGCCCAGCCCAGCGGGGCCCATTCTAGGTGTGCCCTTGTTGGGGCGGTGCAGGCAGCACCCTTTTATGGAGCAAGCGTCTGGCCCACGCCCTGGTGGCCGAAGGAGACTAGGGGCCACACCCCACGGTGTGGGGCTCCTGCCTGCTGGGAGGGCTGGGGGAAGCACAGTGAATATTTTTGTAACTTGCTGGAGCAAATGGACATGGGCTGATTGTTTCTAAGTTATTATTGCCAAAGACCTGTCAAGTTTATTGTTGCTTTGGGGGGGGGCGGGCACTTGTTTTTGGTGTTTTTTGTTTTATTAGTTCGAGGCTTAGGACGCTGGTGCAATGGTTTTCTTGTTCTTTTTTTGTTTGTTTTTTAAGAGAAATCAAGCTAAGAAAAAAACAGTCTTCATCGCAGTGTTTTCTTTGTGGGTCTATAGCTGATACCCTGGGTGCAGCTGCCAGCTCTGCCCGTGATCAGGAGGGAAGCTGGCCTCTCCTCCCATCCCACGGTGGCGGCAGTCCCTCAACCCCTCCCACCCCAGAATGGTCCTGTGTAGGCCAGAGGAAGAGGTGGACCCGGACCTCCCTCTGGCAGCTGCTCTTCTGCCCCTGCCCTTGCCAGGGGCTGCGTCTGTCCCTGCCTAGCAGTAGAGTAGTAGGTGGTAGGAAAGGCCCAGTCTGGGCTCCTCTGCCTTCCTGCTGTGTGCGGGGCTGTGCTGCCTGGGCCCTGGTGGCCGTGGGTGCGGAGCAGGAGCAGGAGCAGGTGGTTGAGTCTGACAAAGGCGCACTGCCTGGCATTCTCCACGGGGCGGGGCTGCTACCGCCAGCTCAGCTCACCTCGTGCTGCTGCACATGAGACCCGAGGAGCGGTGAAGTCTGGCATTTCAGCTCAGGCCCAAGGCCCTGCCGGGGGCAGCTGGACGGGCCATCCTCAGGCAGGCCCCGGGGGAGGACCTGCGCTGGCGGTCCAGGCCGTGGCAGCTGCCCGCTGAGCACTCAGTGCCTGCTGGGGCTGGGGCTGGTGGGAGCCGGGGAGCCCGAGCTGGTCAGGCACAGCGGACAGGGTCTGAAGGGAGGTTAAGGGTGAGGGGAACCTCCAGCACTCCCGCAGCCCCCGGCCGACAGATCACACTGTGTGCTCAAGTGCCCATTTATTGACCAGAGGGGGAGCTCAAGGCAGTGTGAGCCCGGCACACTCAGGCCTACAGTCCCAACCCTTGGGAGGTTGAGTCAGGAAGATCCAGAGTTCAGTGCCAGTCAGGACTGCATGGAGAGACCCTGTCTCAAAATGGAACAGCTGTGTGGGAGTGGAAGCTCCCACGGCAAGCTGAGTCTCCTGTGCTCCAACACATAGTGCTCCCGAGCCATGGATGGACGGTGCCCGCCCAAGAGCCAGCCCCTCTGCCGGGGAGGACCCGTGGCCAGCAGGCCTGGGCATCTCCTTTGGCTTCCACCTGGGGCCTGCCAGGGACTGCCCCCGGAGCAGTCAGGGTCCAGCAGCGGGCAGGCTGGGGCCAGAGCCGTGCGGTGGAGGGCTGGCAGGCGGTTCTCTGAACCGGAACACGGGTGCGACGCTCTGGCAGGCGGTGGGGAACAGCAGCGTCACAGGCGTGGCCCTCAGCTGAGGAAGGGGGCGGACCGGTCATTGGTCACTGTCGGCTTCAGCTGGATGTTGGCGAAGGGATTCCTGAGGAGAGAGGAGGGGCTTCAGCTCGGGGTGGCAGCCAGGCATGAGTGCTGCCTGCCCCGGTGACGTGATGCCAGCTGCGGCTGGCTGCGGACCCCCGCGCTGTCCCTGCTCGCCCCACAGGCTCTGCGTGGGGCAGGGCACCTCCACTTGGTCCCGGCAGCCCTCCCAGGCTAGAGGGAGGGGGTGGTGGTAGGCCAGCCCTAAAGGTTACCCCACCCCCACAAGCCCAAGAAGTGGCTGGTCTGAGCACAAACAGCCTGTTTACCAGGGACCCAGCTCCACAGCCCACGCAGGCTGGTCCAGGCATGCAGGGTGCCCAGCAGGCACGCCACAGACACGCAGACACGACAGACACAAGGGGCACACACACGGGCACCCTCGGCAGAAGGCTCACTGCCCCTGTGGCTGGACGGAGCTGCTCCTCGCCCAGGGCTCGGCCCCCTCCCCAGAGGAGCACCGCGCCCCATGGCCGCAGCCAATGCACAAGCAACAGAGAATGGAACAGAGGAGCGCGGACGGGCCGTCCCCACGGGCCGAGGAGGGCTCCCTGGCGGGGACGGCCCAGGGCGGCAGGCGGACAGCGGGGCTCTGCAGTGACAGCACAGATGTCGGTGGACAGGACGGGCAGGCACGGGACTGCACTCCCGGGGACACCGTTACCTGGAGTGGGCGCCTCTGGCCCAGTGGAGACGTCTGGAGCAGGGGAGGTGTGCCCCTGGGGGTGGGCAGATGCTCCGTCCAGCACCTCTCCCTACCCTTTGCTGAGGACTCTGTTTCCTACACACCTGAAACACTCTGGGAGGCTTTCAAAGGACGAGATGGAGGACAGGGGCTGCTTTGGGATACCCGGGGGCCAAGGCCCCCGTCAGATGGCCTGCCTGGCCTTCCCCCTCACCCATGGCCAGGCAGTGTGTAGGACGCGGGCAGGGGGGGGTGAGGACCGGGTCACTGCGGTGCTCGGCTGCCCGCCATGCACAGTGGCTCACAGAGAAGTTCCTGGGCCCAGGTGCAGCGGCCCTGGGAGCCTTGAATGGTGCAGCACGCCCCCCCCCCCCGTGCCTGCCGCGGCTCCCCCTGCAGAATGAGCTTGCAGCACAATGCTTGTCCTGCCCCGATCTGGCTCACATCGGAGCTCACAGTGGCGAAGCTGCGGCCTAGAAGGTTCACCCGAGAGGCTCTGTACAAACTGTGCCACCCTCTGGACCCAGCACACAGGACCATCAACACTATGAGGTTCTGAGAAAATTGAGGCTTGTGACCCCCAAATGTCAGATCAGCGCTTCTGTATCTCCTGCACCCCCCCCCCCCGACTGCAGGGCTATGAGAGGAAGGCTGGACGGCTACCAAGTCCTGAGATACAGGGAAAGCAGGGCCGGGAGTGACCCTGGGAGCCACCCGGGTAACCCATGGGGCTGGGACTGGACGAAGCAGCACAATGCCGACTCAGAGCTCACGGTCACCATGGCGTGGCACTGTGTGCAAAGAGACTGTCCTCTGTCCTGCCAGAGCCACGCTTCCTTCTGAACGTACAGCCACGCACAGATGCGGCCAAGGCCGCGGGGGCTGCCGGGAGGGCCTGGAGCGCTGGCCCTGGACTCCCGGAATAACTGCAGCTTTCCTGCCCAGACCAGCGCCCGCTCCCGGCGGCGAGAGGTGGCGAGGAGACGGCCAGGGCAGAAGGTAGCCAGGGGAGACAAGCTGCCTGGGGGTGGGGTGGGGGAGGGCAGGGTCTCCCTCACTGACTGGAACCCTATAGAGCCCTGGAGAACCCAGCCCCCGACAGAACGGCACGGCACTGCAATTTACACAATTTACGGTGCTCTGCCAAGGCTGCCTGTGGCAGGAGCAGCAGCGGGATTCTGGGAGCCAAGCACATGACCACGTCAGTCTGCAGCCTCAGGAGGACCACGCTGGGGCAATGCGGCGGACGCCCGCTTCCACTTAGCTCTTCTGGAAGTCCTGGGGTTTGAACTCAGGCCTCATTCTTGCCAGGCGAGCCCTCTAATCACTTGAGCCACAGCCCAGCCTCTCTGCTCTATTTTTTGGGTAGGAACTTACATTTTAGCCCCAAACTGGCCTCAGACTGCGGTTCCTTCCTAGTGACTCCTGTGAAGCCAGGATGGCAGGCGCATGCCACCACACCCAGCATGACAACCTCCCAACCTCTGCCTCCCAAGCAGCTGGGATGACAGGTGGGAGCTGCCGCAGCTCATCCTAACTGGACTTCCGTGTTCTGGAGCAATCACACTCCCAGAATCAAGTCAGGGGTGGGCCTTGGCCTCAGCTGGCCAGAATGTGGTTGGTGGCTTGAAGCTCACCGGTCACAACCCTAAGGTGCAGCTGGGCAATGTGGGCACCTGTCAACAGATGGCTGTTGATGCCCACCAGGTGAGTGGTCAGGCAGACGGGCGGGGGGTGGTAGTCCAGCACCATCCAATGCCCATGTGCTCCCAGGTCTCTTCCTCAGTCTTCCCGATGCCAGCATGGCCCCAGCCCACTCGCTGCAAGGCTGGACATACAGGCTTCCTGGCATTTTGGCAGGATGGAGAAGCGGCCTGCCTGTGACCACCAGAGGCGCTGCCATTCTGTCCTGTCTCCACACTTCGCCATTTTGCCACGTAACTTTCTAGAATGCTGCAGGCCCTCAACAGAAAGAGCATGGGTTCAGGGCTGGCCTGAAAGGCCTGGCCATCCACAGGCTGGTGTATGTAAATAGGCCCGTGCCAGCCCCTGCCGTCCCCTCCTGTGCCGTGGCCAGAGGGGTGGGGCCTGTGCCCGCAGCACCCTTTCACACACACCCCCCCAGTTCCACCCTGGGCTTTACTGCTCAGCTTTTTTGCTCATGGCTGGTCTCTGCCGAATGAGCCATGCCTCTGTCCTGGCACAGCCGGTTACTTTAGAGATGGAAGTCTCAGCCCATTTGGGCTAGACTGGCGTTACACTCTGGTTCTCTGGATCTTGGCATCCTGAGCAACGAGGATCACAGGCATGAGCCACCGGTGTCTGGCCCAGCTGTGCACCTGGGCATTTTCCCAGGGCCAAGGACAGGGGTTGTCACCAGATGGTGACCAGGAGGCACTGGAGCAGGGGGCTGCTTCCGGGCAGCCTGGCCACTGTCTGGGGACCATATGAGGAGGGAATCCCAAAGAGGTAAGGTCTGATGGCAGAGAACATCAGGGCCACAGAGCCCGTCCCCAGGACTCTGAGGAGAGGCCCAGCCTGCCTCCCCTCCCCCATGCTCCCACAGAAACACCCAAGTTGGGGCCATGTGGTCACCATGGACAGGCCTGACCCCAGATGCCCACCAGGGGTTCCAAGCACCCAGCAGGGAGGAGAAGATGAAGGGCCAAGCCAACCCCACATTCAGCAGGGAAGGCAGCGACGGGACAGACAGAGCCAGACCCATAAGCCTCTGGGTGGAAGGAAGGAGACCCCCAAACCCAAGGAGGGTGCCAGAAGGAGGAAGATTCAAAGCCCACAGCCAGGCAGCCTGGCAGAGCCCCCAGGCCCACTGCCCAGCAGGGGCTGGAGGTCTGTCCGGAGTCACTGCAGATTAGACAGAAGGGCACAAGACCAGGGCAACTTACTAACTCTAGTCAGAGGCAGCTCAAAATCTGGCCACTTCCACATCGGCGCTGCAAGGAAACACAAGCCTCGTTGGTGGAGCTGGATGGGGGAGGGAGTAGAGGGCTCGGGGAGCAGAGTCTGGCCAGGATGAGGAACGCAGCCCTCAGCACACTCTGCCCTGGAGCAGCTTCCAGTGCCCGCCTTATCCTTAGTCCACAGGGAGCCTGAGGTGGCTCTGAGGGGCCACCTGCCCCCTCTGCGGCCCGCAGCGGGCCTGCCGAGGCCCTGAGCTCTGAGCCCGGGCACTGTCAGCAAGTGCGCGGGCAGCAGCAGGGGGCACCCAAGCCAACTGGGCTGGCATGGCCCTGCCAGGCTAAGTTTGTTCACAGACTGCCACGGGTGCTCGGCAGAGCCAAGAGGCTGAGGACGGGCCCCGAGCTGGGGTGCACAGAGGCACGGCCTGGCCCACACAGCCCCGACACATGCCGGAAACTGGAAGGAGGCTTCAAACCCAACTCGATGCAATAAATAAAACTTTTATTCAAACAGTTAACTGCAGTACAGGGCACAATTCAGATTTAAAAAAAAAAATTAAGGAAAGGAAAAAGGAAAAAAAATATTTTCAGCACTTTACATCTTCACACGAGTGTTGCTGACTTGTGTCTACATTCGTCCATTGCACATGGAGTCCCCTGGATTTAAAATCTTTTAGCAAAGTCAGAACGACACAGAAGGTTCCTTACACAGGTCCAGGTTCTGGCTGTGTTTTCCTTAAATATAAAACAGGGCATGTCTGCCGGAGCGGCCGCTCGCGGACACCACGGGCCACACTCTAGTCCTCGGCAGGGGTGCGGGAGGGTTTAGCTAAACCACACTGGAAAGAGGCGCGTTCACCGCTTCACAAGGGGCTCCCACCGGCCGCATGTGGACCCCGGCCGTGCCTTGGCTCGGCTGCCCAGAATTCAGTGTGTGAAGAGACAGAACCAGTAGCCACTGAGTCCAGTGTGCTTGCTTCTAAAGTCACCGAGACACACAAAAAGACGAGAGTGCTTAGGAGGCAGCGGGGCAGGGGCCGGCGCTCCCCGAGGGCCGGAGGTGTGGGGCAGCCTGCCCAGAGCCCTCCTGGGGCCAGCCTCGCCAGGCTGGCCACACACACCCTGCCCCCTGCAGCCCAGTGGCCACAGGTGGCTGTGACTCCCTCACAAGGCTGGTTAAAGAAACAAGTTCCAAAAACAAGTGGGGTGGGGTCGTCTCTGGAGGTCTTTGGAATGTCTGCGTGTGGCCGGGCAGCGCCTGCTCCCGCCCCCGCCCCCGCCAGCACACCGCGTGAGGTAACGCCACCCCGCGCCGGGCGCCGCCGCGCGCTCGGGACACCTGGCCAGCGAGGTCCACCGAGAGGCCCTGTGCCTGGCCTGGTGGGCAGGGCCAGGTGGGCCGGGGCTGGGGTCTCCCTCACAGGAGTGGCCAGCTTCCTCAGGAGGCGCCCCCCCCAAGCGTGGCACAAGCCCCCTTTCTTGGTGCAGCCCTTGGAAGGGGCCTGGGGCAGGTGGGGTTCTGAGCCTGAGCCCCCTCCCTGTTCTAGAAGAGCCGGTGCGCCGGGGTGGGATGCGGGATAACAGTACGTACACCAGAGTCCATGCATATCTGTGTGTGTTCCAGGGAAAGAAGTCCTTTCCCTGTGCCCCCCTTTTTTGTTTTTGCTTTTTTTTTTTTTTAGAATTTTTCTTCGAGCTCTAGGCTGGCTCGCAGCGAGCCTGAGAAAAGGGCTGTGTGCTGTGCACACCGCAGGGCAGGGCAGGGCAGGGCAGGGCTGGGCAGGGCGAGGTCGCTGCTGGCCACCGGCCCACAGGCCACGCCTGGCAATGTCTGCTCAAGGCCAGGCCCCCGGATGGTGGCTCGAGCAGGGGGGCGGGGCGCAGGGAGCAGCACCATGGACCCTGGGGGATCAGAGTCTGGGGTCACCAACCAAAAGGCGGGAGCAGGTGGGGAGAAAACCCAAGAACAAACCAACGCGAGCTGAGGGAAACCGACGGAGGCGGGGGAGGGGCTCTTCGGAGCGGCTGCCGGCTCACATCCTCACACTGTGGACACCAGCGTGCCGCTGCCGCTGCGGAACAAAGCACAGGACAGCTGCCACACGCACGCCGCCGGCCAGCGCGGCCGCTGCCTGGCCTCAGGGATGGAGGTGGACGGAGGAGCCAGGACCCTGGAGGTGTGGCCCCGGGGAACAGGTGGCAGCACTGTCCCACCCCGCTCTAGGGAAGCGCAGATGAGGCCGGGTGGGCCTGTGACCCCGTGGCGGCCGGGGCAGGAAAGAAGACCAGGGCAGAGGAAGGGCCTTCGCTGCTCAGAGAGACTCGGAGCCGGGAGGGCGGGTGGCTGCCCGCTCGGGTGCTGCTCGAGGTCAAGCCGGGCTTCCAAAGGAAGAGGGGCGGGCCTCTAGGTCCCAGGAGAGGGGGCTACCCCGCCGGAGCCCCTGGCTGCCGCCCACAGCCCCAAGGACAAGTCTAAAGCCCTTACCTGCTCCCAGACCGGGCTCCGTAGTCATCCAGTCCCTGGGGAGTAAAGAAGCGGTCAGGCTGGGCCGACACCTCGCCACCAACCTGGGACCCGTGACCATCCGATCCATGCTGGGGTTCAGACTGGGCCCCAGGAAGGGAAGGTGGGCCCCTACCCCTTCCTCCCCACTCTGGCTGCAATGGCTCAAGACTCCTCAGTAGCCCATGGTTCCGAGTAGTGCCATGATGGACCCCCAAATTAACCAAGACCCCTGCGTGGTCCGTGGACAACTGGCTCTTAGTACAAAAAGCGGTCATCTCTGGACCCCCCTTTGCACACCCTCCCCACAGGAGGACACCTAAGAGCTGAGGCCTGGAAAGAACGCGGCCGCTCGCGTGAGTCGAGGACAGGCCCAGCGGGTGGTCTGGGCAGCGGAGGGGCCTCCCTGAGAGCCAGGGCCCTGGCCTGGACGCACCACCATGGGTCTGGAGGTGGGCGTGAATGCAGGCAAGGGCTGCGGCGGGCCTGCTGGCACAGGCTGGCAGGGAGGCAGCTACAGGAGGCGACCACCCGCTGGCCTGCTTCACACAGGCTGGGCTGGCCCTGGCTACCCGCAACTCCCCGGGGAAGACACGAGTGCTCAGGAAACAGCGTCCCCAACATAGACAGCTCCCTGTGTGCACGAGGCCGGCCCTGCCCCGGGCACTGAGGGCTGGTGGGTCAGCCATGTCCCACCTGGACACACCTCCAGGAAGGGGGGCCGAAGGGGGGTCAGGGGGACGGTGGCCAGCAGGGCCCATGTTGAGGACTGTACCAAGCCACAAATTCCCAACCAGAGAACCCGGGCCCTGGGCCCCGTCAGACCCAGCCTGAGCCCACAGTCCTTCCATGCAGTCCATCCCGCCCTGGCCTGCCCACTCACCTGCGAGAAGGCGGGCACAGCCACGCTGTAGGGCCTCTGCTTGAAGGCGCCGGCAGTCTGCGTGGGGAAGGGCCGGGAGGACGTGCCGTAGTCGGGAGGGGGGATGGCCAGGTCATCCTTGTCCAGGAGGTTGCCAGTGCTGCTGCTCTTGCCCTGCTGCAGGCTGTGGGGGCACACAGGGCTTAGTGCGGGCTGGGCAGCCCGTCCCAGTCTTCCTCTCCAGTGGAATACAGATGTCTGGGTTTTGGGGGCCCAGGCAGAGCTGCACCCTGCCAGCCTGCCCTCTCTTGGGCGGCCAGATACGCAGCCCAAGCGAGGCCTCCGCCAGCGGGCTGACCCCACAGGCCTCCCCTCTTCCAGTTTCCCCATCTCCTCACAGGCAGGTCGCCCTGGGCCTGGCAGGATGTGCCAGGACAGAGCGCACCGTGCCCGTTATGCAGGCCACAGTGACGGGCAGCTGTCACTCCCTCCACCAGGTCCAGCTGGGCCTTTCAAGGGCTGGGAGAGCCTGCAAACCCCAAAGAGGCAGCTGGGGTGTCCCCATCCCAATGCACCACCCAAGAGCCACTCCCAGAGCACCTGCTGTTCCTCTCAGCACCCTGACTCCCAGAACCCCTGTGCTGTGTTCCCCTCCCCCACAGCCCTCACACATGCAGCAGCAGCCCTGCCAGGCACAGGAGCCGCAGCCAGAGGCCAGGCCTCACACGGTGCCGAGCCGGCTGGCAGAGAACCCAGGCACAGCCCCGCTCACCTCATGTGCAACCTGTCCCCGCCGTCGCTGTCCAGGACCCGGGTGTATGAGAAGGGAAACCAACCCCTCCTGGAAGAAAGGCCCCAGTGAGCAGCCAGAACCTGCCCCGCACAGGCACCCCACCAGGTTGTATCCAGGCCCCTACGGACCATCACTGGACCCCATGTTGCACTGGCTCCCTGGCCTGGACACACTCGGTGGTGGAGGGCAGGCACTGGCGTCCCAGGGTGCCCGCACCCTGTGCTGTTCTGCGGTTGACACCAGACCCACTAAGCCACAGAGCAAGGGGTCTAAGCAGCCTCTATTTGGCAGCCCTGTGGACCCCACCACCTGCACCCCAAGGTTGGGATGTGCGGGTGGGGCGGAGTGACCCGGGCAGAGCTGCTATTCACCTGCCACCCAGGCCCCAGCTGAAGGTCAGAGGAGACATGGGAGGGGGTAAGCAGGGCCCTGGCTCTCAGGGACTCTCCCGGCTCCCTCCCCATGCCTGTGGCTTTCATTGGGCTGCAGCCAAACTCCTTCCGGCCACATGAGTGGAGGGACCACATGTGTCCCTGCCGCCCAGGCTTCGCAGCCTCGTGGAGAGCCGGTGGTGCCAGTGCGTCGGACACTGATGCCCCTGGCCAGTGCCTCACACTGCCCCTCGATGCCCATCTTGCTCACATCTTGGTCTTCTCGCTCTCGCCGTAGTGCCAGCCATCGCGGGCCTCGGGCACCAGCAGGGTGATGAAGTCGCCTTCTTTGAAGCTCAGCAAGGTGCTGTTGTCACCCGCCGCGTGGGAGAAGATAGCCTTGACTCGCATGCGGCCGTTGCGTTCCAGCCCGGCTGCCATGGAGCTCGAGCGTGGCAGAGTCTTGTTCTCAGCTGCCAGGGCAACAATGGGGTAGGAATGACGGGGCTGCGTATGGCAGAGGGAGCCCAGGACACAGGCCAGGGAGCCCGGGTGAGGCGGGCACTGGGCACTGTCAGAGCCCTGGTTAACTGGACCTCCCCCAGCCCGTCCACCTGCTCCTACTTCTATACCACGGACAGGGCCCCAGCCCAGCGGCGCTGTGTCCCACCCTCAGGCCGGCTCACGTTGCACGCACTCACACACAGCACACCCGTGCGTACAAACTCGCACCTACACACGTATATACACACATGCACACTGCCCCAGGGGTACGCACACACATGCCATGAAGACACACATCATGCACATGCTATCCACATACCTGAACACATGCACACCACACACATGCATCTGCACAAACGCATGTCCACAGGTAAATGTACACACAGGCATACACGTACACCGGATAGGAGGCACATGCTTGTACATGCACACACATGCGCACACATTCACACAGGCCTCAGTTTCCCAGGCCTGGGAAGTCACATAGGGGGTTCCAGCCCCGCCCCCCACCCTCCCGCGGCCCCTTACTGGTGGCGTAGCTGTTCTTCGGGGTCACGCTCTTGCGCACGGGAAGTGTGTTGGAGTACGAGTCGCTCAGCTTGCCCTGAGACTGCGGGGGAGACAGGGATTTGGGCTGGGCAGCCTTGCGGTCGGCCCAGGGGTTGTAGTCCTCGCTGTCCGGGCCTGCGACGCCATTCAGGACGGGCACATTCTCCTGAGCAGACATCCGCTGGAGGGAGAGGAGGCAGGGGCGGGGCGTCGCTGGGGGCCAGCTCGGGAAGGAACCCTCTACCCCCATAGGGGCCCTGCCCTTTGGTGGACAAGCTACTGTAAATGGGGACCACCCTTCCCTCCATACACTCCCCAAGACCCAGGACTCACCCCCACGAATGGTGCCAGCTCTGGGGGCACCGGCAGGGGCTTGGCTCCAGGAATGGGGTCTGAGATGATCAGGTTGGATTTGGAGGCCGACAGGGCGCTGGGGAGGATGGCACCGTTGCTACTGGCTATCTGCTGCATCAGCTGCACGGCCCGGTCTGGGATCTTGTTGGGGTCGGCACAGGCTTGCTGCCACAGCGGCAGCTTCTGGGCCAGCAGCTCCTTGCCCTGTGTGGCAGGAAGGGGGCGGGAAGGGGGTCAGAGCGGCCGGCTCCGGCAGCGGGCAGGAAGGGGGTCAGGGCGGCCCGGCTCCGGCAGCGGCGTAGCCCACAGGCCCCTCTGAGTGCATGGGTGCCAAGGTGCTCCACTCTGCCACCCCACAGTGAGGCGGGGCACCTGGGAGCCCAAGCCATGCAAGCGTGACTGTGGAAAAGGGCCCTGTGCACCAGCGAAGCTGTGTAGACAGGACGACACCAGGGTGAAGGGGACCTCAGTGGCTTGGAGGAAGGAGAAACAGCCCAGCTGCTGGAGCTGCAGAAAGGTGGCCCCAGCGGGAAACAAGAAGGGCTCACTGCTTCTTCCCAGCCTTCCCTGGGGCGTCTGGGGCACACGGTGGGGGCATGCCCAACACAGCACCAAGTGCATGAACATAGAGTGGACATGGAGCTGAGGTTGGCGTTAGGGGTCCTGTGTCTGTTGCAGGAACTCAGGCACTGGCAGCAGTTGTGCACGGCCCCAGCCATGGGCTAGGCAGCCCTTGCTCTGATGGCATTATGCGGAGAGGACTGTAAGGGCTGCTTTACAGCAGCCAATCAGGACCTGACGCGGGCCTGGTCCCCACTAGAGGGCGCAGACGACTGCATCTGGCCTCCCCCACGGCCTGTGCGGTAGAGTCCAGGCAGGGAGGACACAGGACACAGGCGGGAGTCCTGTCATGCTCTTCACGCTGGGGCGGATGCCTGGATACCAGGAACTCTCCCTGTGGGGACTGCAGGGGCTCAGTGGGAGGAGAGGCATGGCCGGAGGACCCTCCCACACCGAGAACACAGATGCCGTCCTGCTCTTAATCTGCACCTGCCCACAGCCAGAGCAGGCCTAGGCAAGTGGAGAAGCCTCTGGGGGAAAAGGGATGTTTGTCTCCATGATGCCCCAGACCAGAGGGACCAGATTACATTTGTGGGAATATGTGCCTCAGTGTCCCATGCTGGTCCCTAAGGCACATCTTCACTTTAAAAGTAGGGGAGGCCAGGCACCTGTGACTCACACCTGTCATCCTAGCTTCTCCTGAGGCTGAGATCTGAGGATTGCGGTTCAAAGCCAGCCCAGGCAGAAAAATTCATTAGACTCTTATCTCCAATAAACCACCAGAAACCTAGAAGTGTGCTCAAGTGGTAGAGCACTAGCCTTGAGCTGAAGAGCTCAGGGACAGTGTCCAGGCCCAGAGTTCAAGCCCCATGACCAAATAAAAAAAAAAAAAGAAGGGGCCAGGTGCTAGTGGCTCACACTTATAATCCTAGCTACTCAAGAGATTGAGATCTAAGGACCCATGTTTGAAGCCAGCCTGGGCAGACAAATCTGAGACTCTTATATCTCCAATTAACAAAAAGGCAGAAGTAGAGATGTGGCTCAAGTGGTACAGCACCAACCTTAAGTGAAAAAGGCAAACAAGAATGCAAGCCTGAGTTCAAGCCCCAGTACTAGTATCAAAAACAAAAACTTAGTGAAGGGAAAATAGGAGGAAAGGCCAAGCAATAAAGAGAGTTAAAAAAAAAAAAGACATTACAAAGCTGGGAACCAGTGGCTCATGACTAATTCTAGCTACTCAGGAGGCTCAGCACTCAAGATGGAGGTACAAAGCCAGTTGAAACAAATCCTTGAGACTTTTGCCTCCAACTAATCAGCAAAAAGCTTAGAACTAGAAGCACAGCTCAAGTGATAGAGCTCCAGCCTTGGGTAACAAGGCTAAGTAAGAGCCAGAGGCTGTGAGTTCAAGCCCCAGCAACTGGCATAAAGGAGTGTCTGCACACTTCCTCCTGGGATTCTCTCTACAACTGAGTGCATCTTGGTATCACTGCACTGTAGATAGAGACCAAACGCTACCCTGGCATACTCCAGAGAACACTAGTGTGTGCAGTGTGTGAGGTTGCACCGTCGCTGCTCACCTTGGTGTGGTAGGCAGCAGAGTTCTTGGCCACGGCGCATTGCTTCTCCACCAGGAAGCAGAACCTTCGGCGCTCTTCGGTGAGGGCTGTCTTGTAGCCATCAGATACGTAGCTCTCCAGCTCACCCTGCTTGTTGCTGATGGCGTCAATGTACTATGGGGAAAGAGAAAGAAAGGAGAAAGCTGGAGATGGCGTGTGTCTGTCATCAAACAAGCGGACCACAGTCTAGGCCCAGGCAAAGAAGAAATCAGACCAAGGGCTAAGAGTGGCTCAAACAGTAGAATGCCTGCCTAGCAAGCGGAGGGATGGTGTCAAAACTTCACCAAACACTAAGCTTAAAAGTCAGTGCAGCTGCGCGCTGGTGGCTCATGCCTGTAATCTTAGTTACTCAGGGATGAGATCTGAGGATTGAGGTTCAAAGCCAGCCCAGGCAGGAAAGTCTGTGAGATACTTATCTCTAATGAACCACCAGAAAACCAAAAGTGGTGTTGTGTCTCAAGTGGTAGAGTGCTTGCCTTGAGCTGAAGAGCTCAGGGACAGTGCCCCGGCCCAAGAGTTCAAGCCCTGTGACTGACAAAAACAAAACAAAACAAAAAAGTCAGTTCAAACAATTCACACTAAGAGGCCACTGGACAACTGGCCACACCTTTGTGACACGTGAGACACAGAAAACCCCAGGAGAGGAGGAGTTGTAAGGAAGAGCCATGAGGTCAGTGTGGCCTGTAGGGTGGGCTTTGCCTGTCCCTCCTCAAGACTTCTCTGCTCGGTGACCTGGCTGGGAGATGATGCACCTGAGGTCTGGGGGCCTCATGTGGCACCTGTATTGAGTGGCTAACAGACCTCAGGCTTCCTGTAGTTCCCATGCCAACACTTGCCAACCACCTTGTCAGTTAAGGGGAAGTCCAATCTGTCCTCTGTCAGGGTGACTGGATCACCTGGGCTGGGACGCAAATGAGGATCCGAGAACAAAGTGCCAGCAACGTCTGCAGAGCCCCGGCATGCACTCGGCCAAGGAGGTGCAGGGTGGTCTGGTGGGGCCCCACCGCCCAGGGCAGAACAGAGCGCCCAGGGCAGTGTCTCTGTCCAGGAGCAGCTTCTGCAGCACTGCTTCCTAAGAAGGCCGTCCTCCGGCAGGGGGCAGGCGCCGCTGCCAGGGCTGACTCACAGCTGCCTCAGAGCTGACTCAGCGTGGGTGGGTGGCAGAGCCGTGGGCGGCAGAGGGGGCCAGAGCAGGCTGTTCCCTGGGTCCCTCCCCACGCAGAGCTCAGCTGGAAGGATGGGGGGGGGGAGAACCAGGTGGGTGTAGGCCTGTCTCTACCAGAGCTACCAGTGCAACAGCTCTGCTGCCAGCCAGTGTTAAGTGTGCCCCAAGGTCAGGGCTGGCACAGAACATTTCTGCCCTGTAGACTCCCACCCCTTCACACGAAACCCCGTCCTCCCCCCCACCCCGAGGAGCAACTGAAATGGGCCTCAAAATAGCTGGCTTGCTGCCCCCACCCCAAATCACAGCCCAGACGTGGGGCCTATGTGAGGGGCCATGACGAACCTAGGAAGCAAGAGACGGCGGTGCGGGAGACCAGTGAAAGGCCTGAGGGCAGCCTGGGCACCATCCGGCCAGCCGGCTTCGTGGGTCATGGTGGTGGAGGCTGCTGCCTCCGCCTCCTCCCTCTCCTCCACACACTGAGTACTTTTCCTCTGGTTACACAATATGCTCCTGTCAGGGCCGCCTCCCGCTCGAGCCTCCCCTGCACACTTAAGCTTCTCTGAAAAGTGGGGTGCAGCACCCACAGGAGCTCAGCCAGGAGACCCTAGGGATTCCTTTTCCCGAGCCTCAAGGTAGAAAGGGCCTGGGTGAGGCCAGGTGTGCTCAGGAAGAGAGAGGGGATGCCCAAGGGGGCCTGGGGAGAAACCCATGCACCTGCCCATACCCAGTATGGTGCCCACAGCAACCTGGAGTCCCTCTCGCTCCGTCTGAGGACTCTGAAGACCAGGGCTCTTCCCTGGTCCTGCCCTTACGCACAGGGGCACAAGGAGAGGCTGGGCTTAGAGAAGGGCAGCTGGGAAGGAGACAAGGCTCACCAGAGATGTAGATTTCTCCAGCTATTGCCAGGCTCAGGGGGCTTGGTGGTCATTCTATGTCCAGCCCAAGGCCTGAGGGGCTCAGCAGCAGACCTGACCACTTGCAAGGGGCACTGAGTGCTAAGAGGAGCAGGACATCACCTCAATAGCTTCTGTGCAGGTTATTATCTGAAGGACTTCGGAGAAGGACGTCACCAGGACAGTAGTGTAAACCAGGACGCAGGGCCCCCTGGGTCCTCCCTCCCTGAGAATGGCTCCTTCTGCACAGGCCCAGAGCCTGCCAGCTGCCCACCCACAGCGTTTCTGGGTTTGTAGGCTGTGGCTGCCGTCACATGGAGGCCTCTGCTCCCTGGAGTGCAGTGTGGCACGGGGCTCTGGCCTCATTAGCGGGGTCTGGCAGCAACCGGTGTTGGCTGGGGTGGTTTTTTATTTGTATTATTTCTACTTTCTCATATACCCCCAAATCAACTGGCATCCCCAGAGGTCACCACAGGAGCCCACAGGAGAGCTGGGGAGAGACAAGACACGGGATGGGACAAGGTGCCTGAACCCTGTGGTCAGGCTTAAGCCACATGGCCACCTGGATGTCAGCCCGCGTGGGGGCCGCACGGACCCTGGGAGTGGCAGTTTCTGTCTAGGTACTGAGCTTGGACAGGCCCTCAGGCCACAGCTAGTGACATGTGGCTGCCACTTCTGTCTAGAAATGACAGCCAACGGTGCCTGACCTCCTTTCCAGGCCAACACCTCCTCAGGGAGGGAGACCACAACTTCGCCGGGCAGACCCTGGAAATCTAGGCCAAGCAAGGCGCATCGCCTTGTGAGAGGGGCAGGAGGAGGACAGGGAAGAGCCAGCAGCCAGCTCAGCAGGGCTCCAGGCTGCTCCGAACAGCGGGCGGATGGGGCACCCCAAGGTGACAGCGTTGGAGCTTTCTGGAAACGCACAGAGGACAGAACGCCGCTTGGCCCGTGCTGTGGATGGCCCTACAACAGGCCATTCAAAATGGTACTGTGCCTGAGCCTGTCCCCGCCCCCCCCTCAGGCCCAGGGCCCGCTGTCCCCACCCTCCCCACCTGCCGGGAGGCTCTCTGCTTAGCTGGGTGCTATGGCAACCGCACTATAGAAACGCCCAGCTGAAAGCATTCGAGACCCACAGAACGCTCCCACTTAGTCACCCGGGGCTGAACAGCCCTGTAATCCGAGAAAACAGAAGTGATTGGAAACCGTGTCTCTTCTCCAAAGCAAGCTGGTGACTCAGAGTGGGGGAGGGTGTTCCAGAACAATCTGAAGCTGCTGTGGCTCCTCTTCGGAGGGCTGGTGTGGCTTCCCCATGTCTCTCAATCACCTCGGCAGTCCCCAGTGGCCCAGCTCATGAGTGAGAACATGAGGCTGGGCCTTCCTGTCACCACGGGGAGCAGCGATTCTTGCAAGGAGCCAGCTCAGAACGCGATGGCATGCTGGCCTGTGTCAGGGGAGCCAGCAAGGCCCTCAATGACACTCGGGCTGGCGTCTGGCAGTGCCAGACAATGGTTCCCCTGATCTGGAAGGCCTGGACCCAGACACTGTCAGGCCCAGAGCCGCTGACAGCTGGAGTTGGAAGGGCTAGACACAGTGCCCTGTGAGGACTGTTGCCGTGGCTTCCATGTGCCATGTCTGCCCCCAGAGTCAACCTTACTCTCCAGGATAATCTGTTACTCTTGGTTCCAGCCAAGCCGGCCTTCTGGAGGCCACAGAGCCCGATGAGCTCTGGACGGCAGTCCCAGGAAGGCTCTGGCAGCTTTGAGAGGAATGCGGGCTGGCAGCCTCGCTCTGTCTCCTCGCCACATGCCTCACCAGATGCCAGGCCTCTCCCTCTTGGACTCACCAGCCCCCAGGACCATGAGCTGAATCCCCCCCACTCCCGAATCTGTCCATTAACTAACCTCGGGTGTCCAGTTAAAGCAAGAGAAAATGGACTAAGGTAAACTGTGTTCTGGGTACATCTTTGGCAGGCTTCTGGGACCCACAAATCCCAGGACCTCAATTTTTCTGGGGGAGGAGCCCAGAGCTTTATATCAGATCAACAAGGGGTGTCTATGAGTAGCAGGTCCCATCTCGCCCGGCATGCACAGGCCAAGGGTCCCACCCAGCACTCTGTGGAGCACTGGGGTGCTTGGTGCAGGAGGGGCTTGGCTGCTCTGTCCACACCAAGGCTGAACACGCTGACCAAGGATGGTGGCCACAGATCAAGCTGCCACCCTCTCCCCTGGGGACGGCCAGGTCCTGATGGGGAGGACCTGCAGCCTCGGGGTTCCCACACTCCCTTTTCCACCCCTGGCTGGTTCTTATCCTGAGGAGAGGCAGTGTCTGCTCTGCAGTCCAGACTGCCTTCAGCTGGGAAAGGATGAGAGTGGGCTCCGTGCCCGCACCCCCCGACACGCTGAGCCGTGGCCCAGCCTCTGCTATTATCCTTTTTGAAGATCTAAACCATGGTTATTTTGTCTTTGCTTTGTTAATTACACAGCCCTTTAAATAGAACGGTTCTCTCCCCTCTCAGACCGCAATCTGGGAGTTTGGGCCTCAAACAGGCAAACCCACTGAGGGCAACACAACCGACTCAAGACTCCAGAGGTGCGACTGCCACCGGACCAGCTGTGTCATGGAAAACAGAGGTTCATAGGATGCAGGGATGCCCACGTGTGGCCCAGCCCCCACGACCACGCTCTAGAGGCCAGCCAGGGCTGTGCCCACCTCCTTCTTCCCAATCAGCTCAGCTGGGACAGGTGAAGGCTGACCTGGGCAGACTCCTGGTATCTCCCTCGAGGCACAGGCATCCCGCTAGCCAGACCCAGGGAAGGTAGGTGGACGTGGGGCAGGCCTTGTCCCTGCACCTGCAGGATCCCCGCACAGGCGGCTATGGAGCTGCCTCTAAGAACCCTGGTTGCTCAGGCAGGGCCGTTCGGGGCTGTCACCCTCTTGCCTCAGATGGCATGGTCACCCACACCAGGGTGATTCAGTGGGGCTGTGGGCCTGCCCATGCTCAATGCTGGCTTATCTGTCCACTTCTAGCTGATCCATGCTGGGCTTTCTCATGGTCT